ATTTATTACTTACAAATAGCAAACAAAAGACAACAGAAGTCTAGGATTCAATATGAACCGCTACCACAAGATCAGGAAGGCTACCTAGAGCAGATGGATGGAGTTTTGACTGTAAATGCTTCACTTGCACCACAACTGAGGGACCCCAGAAAGCAGCCCACCTTGGGTTTTCTCAAATGATGTGGTTTGCTGGACACAAGTGTTAAAGGCCATTCTGTTTCGAGCAGGGACTATAACAGAGCCTGGGCTGTTCTGACCAATGTCACCTGATTATCAGGATATTGCCTTCTCAGCATATCATACAGTTATCTTGAGAACTACCAGTAAGAAAGGAAGGAAAATGGCCCTACACCCTTAAAACTGAAGGATCAGGATATTTGTTGTGACAGAAGCACAGACAGTAGCAACAGAGTGTTCTTGTGAGCCATCTACTAGTTCTCTTGACCGGAGCATGGCACCTAACTGTCTTTCTCTTTCCTTTCAATGGAAACTGTTTCAGAATATTTTGAATATTTTGAGTTTCTACATCTACAGAGTTGAGGCACATGATCACTGGCAGTGTAGACTCTCTGCATGGTTACAGGAAAGAGTTCAGGAACCCATCAAGTCACATTGGAGGAGACCACCTAATCCTCCAGAGACTGTCACTCTATCTTCCTGGCGTTAGCTCCACACGCAGTAAGGCCATTATGTCTAAGGCCAGCAAGACTTGCCGTCCGAAGATTCGACTTTTGACATGCTGATAAGCAGCAGTGATAAGAAAAGCCCACACACTCGCTAGGAATTTTTCAATGCAAGCAACTGAGACTCTTCTTCATATCCTTCGATAGGGGCTAATGTCAAACTCTTTCTTCCCATTTTCTTTACTCATCAGTGCCTGAACCATGAGGAACCATAGATGTACACCTCATCAGGAGGGTGTATGGAAAAGCGGCAAGGGGAGCAGCAGCACAAGAAACAAACAAGGCCACTACTTCTGCCTACATAATAACTATTATCTTGGAGTGTACAATAATTAATAATGTTCACATGGCTGCCCTCAGCATACAGAGATGGTGACCAGAGTAGATGCAGGGACTACAGAGATACAGCCTGATCCTTGCTAATTAGGACTTAAGTGTTGGCTTATGTGCTGCGCTTCTGTGCATTAATAAGTCAGGGCCTCAAAACTGCCTGCTAAGCAAAGGCCAAATGTCATGCTGGGGTGCAATGAAACATTCATGTCTAGGAGATGAGAGCATTTTAGTGTGGGAGAAGATGAAAACACCTGAAGACCACAGAACGCTGTGCAGGCCAAAGGGAAGGCCCATCGTCACCTCACAGTTCTGACTCAGGTGACTGCTGATGTGTTACGGAACCGTCAGCCGACAGCAGGTAGGTCAAGTTGAGCAGGTGTCCTGCATGAGGGCTGGTCCATTCCATTTGTGTTGCCAATTATTTCAATAGCATCTCATGCACCCCACTGGTGAGGAAGGAATGAGTACCCTACGTTTACTGGCACCGTTAAACACATAACATCTATTACTAAACAGAAAAACCAGACATCAGTTATTAATTACATATAGGAGGATGGTGTAAGCTCCCATAGGCCCAAACAGGGATTAACTTAGGAGCAGAGAGTGGTATAGCATGAAAAAAGTGAGGATGTTCCTTTTTTTTTTTTTTTTTTTTGGAGACAGCAAGCTCCGTCTCCGAGGTTCACAACATTCTCCTGCCTCAGCCTCTCTAGAAGCTGGGACTACAGGCACCCATCACCACACATGGCTAATTTTTTGTATTTTTAGTAGAGATGGGGTTTCACCGTGTCAGCCAGGATGGTCTGGATCTCCTGACCTCATGATTCACCGGCCTCGGCCTCCCTAAGTGCTGGGGTTACAGGCGTGATCCACTGCACACCCCCGGCCGAGGATGTTCCTTTGTTCCTACAGGAGTACGTGATTGCTTTGTCTGTTGGCTGATAGGGAACTGAATCATGTCACACAGACTGGTAAGACTGTAATACTCTAAAAAACAATATATAAACTATCATATCATAATGGTGCAATACTATCTACTACAATGAGAAAGGCATCGATGAAAAGCCGAATGATATCATATGTGACTGAGAGATTGAATGCTTCCTCCCTCAGATTGGTTACAACATGTTGTCCTATCACAGTCCTCTCTCCTTCATTCAAAGTGAATGATCCAAATAATAGACAGAAATAATAAAGAATAAAGGGCAACACATGCAAAGAACTCACGAGATGATACTCCATGGTAAAATTTATGTACTTAGGAATTAATACCAAGTCATTATTAGCAAGAAATAAACATCTTTACATCAAGAGTAGTTTTTCCTTTAATAAAGAAAGGTGGAATGTGTATAATGAACAAGGGATAATCAAAATTTACCAAATGAGGCTAGTAAGACTATCCCAACAATTCACAATCATTATTCACTGGTCCATTAATCACAGGACAATACATACAAATGAAACTTACCTGAACGGGTGCAGTGGCTCATGTCTGTAATCCCAGCACGTTGGGAGGCCAAAGTGGGCAAATCATGAGGCCAGGAGTTCAAGACCAGCCTAGCCAACATGGTGAAATCCTGTCTTTACTAAAAATACAAAGAATTAGCTGGACATAGTGGTGGGCACCTGTATGCCCAGCTACTCGGGAGGCTGAGGCAGGAGAATCACTTAAACCCAGGAGGCGGAGGTTGTAGCGAGCCGAGATTGCACCACTGCACTCCAGCCTGGGCAACAGAGGGAGATTCCATCTCAAAAAAAAATAATAATGAAATAAAAAAATTAAACGTACCTACATATTAGAAAAATTAAATTCAACCATGAATCCAGCACATTATCAAATGAATAGACAAAAATTCTATCAACAAACTTAATATCATTATCTATGAAACTCAAGTACTACTGCTTAAAGAGCATTTACAGAACTCTCACCTCAAGGTTTCCCGCAAAACAAGGTGAAATGCATACTCAAGACTCTTTAAGAATGAGCCACTGATAAAAGCAATATACTTGTAACTTCTGTAACATTTCATACATTTTTTTCAAGCACTGCACCATAATTAATTTGCATCAGGCTTTCCAAATTAGAAAAGCTTCACTTATAGAACTTCTTTCCCATGGGAGTTTTCACATGACTTTTCAAGTAAATGTGAAAACTGAAAATATTCTTGCAGTTTCTAAACTATTAGAGTTTTAATCCTGTGTACGTTCTTGTATTTACAAGGTCCAGCCAGCTACAGTGTGCATTTTCATATGTCCCTGAGTGGGTATGAGAGAAATGAAACATTCCCACATTCTGGACATTCATAGGGTTTTTCTCAGGAATCAGCTGATGTCTTCAAATGGAACTAACATAACTGAAGGCCTTACCACAAATTTAGATTCAAAAGGCTTTTCTCCACTCTGAGTCCTCCCAAATCTTCAAAAACAGGAAAATCTGAAGGCCTGACCACATTTCCTACATTCTTAAGGTTTCTGTGCAATGTGAGCCTTTTCATGCTTATGAGGGAATGGGAAAGAGTATATGTTTTACCACATTTCTTACATTCAAGGGGCTTTATTTATTTATTTATTTATTTATTTTCTTTAATTTTGAAATGGAATCTCACTCTGTCACCAGGCTGGAGTGCAGTGGCACAATCTCGGCTCCCTGCACCCTCCGCCTCCTGGGTTCAAGTGATTCTCCTGCCTCAACCTCCTGAGTACCTGGGATAGCAACCATATGCTACCACACCCAGGTAATTTTTGTATTTCTAGTAGAGACGAGGTTTCACCATGATGGCCAGGATGGTCTCGATATCCTGACCTCGTGATCCGCATGCACAGGGCTTTCCCCCAACCCCCTGTGGCTTTTTATGTCCTTGAAAAAGAACTAAGACAACTGAAATGTGCCACCATGCCCAGTTAATTATTTTCTTTTTTCTTTTTTTCTTTCTTTTTGAGATGGAGTCTCGCTCTGTCGCGCAGGCTGGCATGCAGTTGTGCGATCTCGGCTCACTGCAAACTCTGCCTCCCAGGTTCATACCCTTCTCCTGTCTCAGCCTCCCGAGTAGCTGGCTTGAGCCAGCGTGCCTGGCATTATTTTATTTTTTCTAGAGACAGGGTTTCACCGTGTTGCCCAGGTTGTTTCACACTGTTTTAATCCGGGCTGGTTATGAACTCCTGGGCTCAAGCAATACACACACCTTGGCCTCCCAAAGTGCTGGGATTATAGGCTGAGTCACTACACCCAGCCTCTATATCATGACTTCTTTCATGGCGAGTAAGATGACTGGAACGAGCGTAGTCTTTACCGCATCTCTTACATTCATAGGGTTTTTCTCCAGTATGAATTCTTTCGTGGAGGTGAGGGGAACTGAGATGACTGAAGGCTTGGTCACATTGTTTACATTCATAGGCTTTCTCTCCAGTATGAGTACTTCTATGGTTACAAAGGGAACTCAAATGACTAAAGGCTTCGCCACATTGTTTACATTCATAGGGTCTCTCTCCAGTATGAATGCTCCATGGTTACGAAGGGAAGTGGAACAGATGAAGGCTTTATCACATTTGGTGCATGTATCGGGTCTTTCTCCAGTGTGAGTCCTTTCACGCATCTTAAAACAACAAGAAAATCTAAATATTTTCCCACATTCCTTACATTCCTAGGGTTTCTCTCCAGTGTGAGTTCGTTCATGTATTAGACAACAACCGGAAACAGTGAACGCTTTACCACATTGTTTATATTTATAGGGTTTTTCTCCTGTGTGAGTTCTCTGATGTCTTTCAAATGAATTGAGAAAATAAAACACTTTCCCACATATCGTACATGTATAACTGGATTTCCACTGTACATTATCATGTGTCTTCTAACACCTGGAACAGAAACGAAGAATTTCCCACATTGTTCACATTTATATTGCTTCTCTCCATATGGTTTGTATCCTGAGTGAGCCAGGATGTGCCTATTAAGGAGGGAATGATGTACAAAGACTTTTCCACAAACACTGCTTTCACATTGTTTTAATCCAGTAGAAATGTTCTCATTCAGATCAAGATTTGGAATTTGGCTGACTACTTGTCCATACTGTCTACCTTCTTTGCTTTCACACAGTCTCTGTACCACATGATTTCTGTAAAAAAAATGACAAGCACATTATTATTGGTTGGTTTAATAACTTTCCACTTACTAATAGGTCTTGGCCTTACACTGCTACCAATACCAAGGAAAAAGCATTGTTATTATTATTATTGTTATTATTATTTTTGCCATGATTGAATTATTTGAAAGTAAATGGGTTACTACTGAAAACACAGCTACCACCTGCATGGCTATGACCAAATTAGTAACATTCATATACACAATTTTGTAGTGCTATTTTCAAGTAAACTGTTTTCCAAACTCTGACTGCTACCTTGAAGTACGTTACATTTTGGGTGAAATTTTTCTAAAAAAAATAAATTTCAAGTGACTCTATTTGTTTTGATTGCTTGTTTTTAAGTTCATGACAAGCTAAGATTCCTTCAGAGGACTTTATTTCCTCTTCTCAGTGCAAATTATCTTATATCTTTCCCAAGTTTTTCAAAGTGATCTTCAATATTCTGGTCTTTCCATTTGTTTCCTAAAATGCAGACCCACAAAATTATCATGAATTATTACAAACTACAGAAACATTACTAGATTTCATGTTCATTGTACACAGTGCCCATGCCTGATTTCTTCACCAAATCATTCCCTTGCCACATTCCAAATCACAAATAGCACTGATGATAGGGAAATACTTCTGTAATTAAGTGAAATGTGTTGTCATTCTTACCTACAGAAGCCAGGTTCCTGCAGGTTTCCTGCATCACTTCTCTGCAGAGATTCTTCTGAGAAGAATCTACCAAAGCCCATTCCTCCTGGGTAAAGTTCACAGCCACTTCCTCAAAAGCCATGGAGTCCTAGAACATTCCACATATGTGGATAGAAGGACGGGTGAGACTGACAGCACTGGGAATCTATACTCAATCCATAAGCTGTTTACATGATTCTAAAATTTCCAAGCATTTATTCTATGACTTGATTGTCACAACTCTTACTCTGTTCACACATACTCCCTCCCACACAGCAGTACTAATGCGAGAATTGAACTATTCAAAAAGGCAACAGCAAAGTAGAAACACCCATCTCATTAGAAAATCCAGGGAGTAAGATGTGCTGCTAGGAGTCACCTTTTAACTTCACTTTGTACATTTCTAGTATCTGTCATAATAAAGTTCTACCTGATGTGCATAAAGGAGTTAATATTATCAGTCCTGAGACTACTTATTCTTAAAAATGCCTGCTCACAAAGTTCCATCTTTGTTTGTATTAGTAACTTACATTTTGAAAGGGATTCCACCAACCCAAGTAATAAGAATGACTCACTGCTCTAAATGGCTTATGCAATATATTTGCCAAAACTTTTTCTGCCGAAGGTCTATTATTTTCACTGCAGTGGTGCTTAGGGAACCAGACACCAAAACACAGTCTGAACACTAAGTGTTCAATGAGGTTCCCTGGTACACAATATTTTACATGTGCTGTCACTTATTAACTGGGGAGTTGAGCCCATTCCATGTGATTATACCAAAAGAGAGTAGGCTTATTAAATTTAATTGAGTAGTAAATAAAACCAATAATTGATATTGGACAATATTAATACAATAATTTTTCAAATTTCTATTGCACAATGTCAAGGTAGAAAGGAATAAGAGGAAATACGACACCTGTTTTTAAAAAAGGACATTAATGTCACCACTTCCAGATGCTATTCCTATGAAATCACATAAATTCCCAAATCAGGTTTTTTTTTAGGCAGGAAAAATTACTTTTTCATGCATAGTAAAAATGACAAATGTCTAATGCTTTTTAGTCATCTAAAAAAAGAGTGATGGCTTGTCTAACATACTTCTAAGATTTTCAAGCGAAAATACTCAGGACAGCACAGTATTAGCAGAGAGATGAGCAAGCAGACCAACGGGAAGAAAAGTCTTAATGACCCAGCATTTAAATGGAAAGTTGATGAATGATAGAGTAGGCACTGTAGAATAGAAAAAGAAATCACATGCACTTTAAAATATGAGGCAAACCAGGCTGGCATCTGCTTAGGAAGATGCATTGCATTCTTCTCTATTCCATGATCCATAATCAACTTATTATATATTCAAATATGAAAGATAAAACCAGAACACTTTCAGAAGTCACAGAAAGATTTTTTTTTTTTTTAACGAAGGATTAGGCAGAATTTCTTTTATGTAAGAAAACAGTGATAAAGGAACAGACAAACTCAAACATATTAAAATTTAGGGAATAAAAAGAAAATAGTGTGGGCAGGGCATGGTGGCTCACGCCTGTAATCCCAGCACCTTGGGAGGATGAGGTGAGCAATCATCTGATGTCAGGATGTTGAGACCAGCCTGGCCAACATGGCCAAACCCCGCCTTTTTGCTGTTTGTATTTTTTGTTTTTTGAGACGGAGTCTTGCATTGTCACTTGGGCTGAGGTGCAGTGGCAAGATCTTGGTTCACTGCAACCTCCACCTCCCGGGTTCAAGCAATTCTCTTGCCTCAGCCTCCCAAGTAGCTGGGATTACAGCTAATTTTTTCTTTTTTGTATTTTTAGTAGAGACAGGGTTTCACCATGTTGGCCAGGCTGCTCTGGAACTCCTGACCTCGTGATCCGCCCACCTTGGCCTTCCAAATTGCTGGGATTACAGGCCTGAGCCACAGTGCCAGGCCTAAAACCCCGTGTTTACTAAAAATGCAAAAATTAGCTGGGTGTGATGGTGGGTGCCTATAATCCCAGTAACTCGGGAGGCTGACACAGGAGAATCACTTGAACCCGGGAGGCAGAGGTCGCAGTAAGCAGAGATAGTGCCACTGCACTTCAGCCGGGCTACAGAGCAAGACAGTGTCTCCAAAAAAAAAAAAAAAACCATAAAACAACACCAAAAAACCCCTCAGATATCCAGATAAGAGGACACAGATGTGTCCACTGTCATAAATTCTTCACCATGCTACAAGAGGGGAACTGACATTTTGGTGAATCCTTGTAAATCATCAATTTATCTATCATACTTTTATTTCACCAGTAGCATTCACAAAGCTAAGTCCTACAATTCCATTTGAAATTACCCTTGAAAAGAACAGACCTTTAAATCTTACTACACTCACTCTGGGGAAGAAATAAATATGAACTTTTAGCAAATAAAATACGTCATTTTACCTTGCTACTTTGGAAATAGTACCTTTATCTTTCAAACTGTACTGACAACATGTATCTTACAGTCAATGAAAAACTGAAACTCATATAAGCGGACAAGCCTTATCAAGGTAACAAACTCAGGGAGAGGCAGCGCTGACTCCAACACAGACCTTTCTAAGTGTCACGGCAGGCATTCTATCCCTCGGGACACCCATCCTGTTCAGTAAAGTCCTCAGTGACCACCTAGGAGGCACTGGCACTGCTCTTTGTCCTCCTGTGTGCCTTGAGTGCATTTTCATATTCAGGTTCTTGCACATCCTCTCTGGGGTGGGTTTTCCTTGTCCTTTGGGACAGTTTTTCTCTCTTCACAAATCTGAGACAATCTAGAGAGCAGAAATCATTTCTGCCTTTTCCCTTCAATATCAGCATCCCATTGGCAGACCGTCAATGTGTCTCTGAGGAATAAAAGCTCCGGCTGGATGAACAGTTTTAATGACCTAGCTTTAATGACATTACGTTGTATTGTCCATTCATTTTAATGTCGTAAAATTTTAATAACCCTAAGGGGTCACCATTTTAGATGAAACTATACCAGGAGATTCCTCTAAGGCCAAGAGCATCCAGCTGCTCCCCTGAGAGACTCTACCCCCTACCTCAGGCTGTCCTTGGGGATGAGATGACCCCAGGGCTGATGCTCACTAGACCCTCCAATAGACATGGCCACAGCGGGTATCCTGGATCATCTCCAGACAGTTCTAAAATGCCAGGACTAGGAAAAGACAGGAGGGTGTCTGAGGACACAACACCCTGTAAAGTTTTCACGGGGGGACTTCAACCTAAAGACATTTTGGTAATATGTACACTTAGGAAAGATGAAAAGAAGAGAGGCACAAAGATTTTCTTTTTATAGTAGTATGTCAGATGATTTATTCTCCGCTTTCCTCTCTTGTAAAATGTTTGGAAACAGAAAAATATTTTGGACAAGGTGGCTCTCGCATGCATTCCCAGCGCTTTAAGAGGCCGAGGTGGGCGATCAGTTAAGGTCAGGAGTTCAAAACCAACCTAACCAACATGGCAAAACCCTGTCTCTACTAAAAATACAAAAATTAGCTGAACGTGGTGGTGGGCGCTTATAAGCCCAGCTACTTGGCAGGCTAAGGCAGGAGAATCGCTTGAACCCGGGAGTCAGAGGTTGCAGTGAGCTGAGACTGCGCCATTGCACTCCAGCCTGACGACAGGGCAAGACTCCGTCTCAACAACAACAAAATATATATATATATATATAAACATACATTTAAAATTACTACATGTAGATAGTATTTGAAGTCATGGGACTGACTGTAGGTAGAAACAAGAGAAGGCAAGGAAAGGTTTTATATTGATATTTATATATAATTATATAAAATATACATAATTATAATATATAAATATATCATATAGGCTGGGCACAGTGGCTTACACCTGTAATCCCAGCAATTTGGGAGGCCGAGGTGGGCAGATCACCTGAGGTCAGGAGTTCGAGACTAACCTGACCAACATGGAGAAATCCCATCTCTACTAAAGATACAAAAATTAGCCAGGCATGGTGGTGTGTGTCTGTAATCCCAGCTACTCAGGAGACTGAAGCAGGAAAATCCCTTGAACCCAGGAGGTGGAGGTTGCGGTGAGCCCAGATTGTGTCATTGCACTCCAGCCTGGGTGACAAGGGTTAAACTCCAACTCAAAATAAATAAATAAATAAATAAAACAAGAAATATATATTTATGTCTAAATATATAATTATAATACATACATGTATATGTAAATATACATTTATTATAAATTTGTTAATATATGAAATATGTTTAGTTCTGAGACAGGGTCTGGTTCTGTCACCCAGACTGGAGTGCAGTGGCACTATCATAGCTCATTGGAGCCTTTAACAGGTGGCTCAAGCGATCCTCCCACCTCAGCCTCCTGAGTGGCTCCTCCTGAGTGGCTAGGATTGCATGCACACACCACCATGCCTAGCTAATTTTAAATTTTTTGTGGAGACAGGCTCTTCCTTTTTTGCCTAAGCTGGTCTTGAACTCCTGGGCTCAAGTGATCTTCCTGCCTCAGGCTTCCAATGTGTTAGACGTGGGCCACTGCATCTGGTTTAATGCATTTTTTAATTTGCGAGTTTATATTATTTGATATTTTTAAGTACTGAATGTGTTGAACAATCAACTTGCAGAATTCCTGAACAATGGACGGTCAGCTCTCATGTCCTGGTTCAAATCGCCCCAGCACACCACGGCTACAAACCTTTCAGCCAACTTCCACTTATATCTCCCGGGGCAGGACAATGTCACTTGGCCAATCCCCACTAAGAGGGACTCCGGAAAGGCATGAAACTATTCTGTTTTCTATAATGGAACCTGACCAGGGAGAAGGCAGCTGGGAGGGCCAGCTGGGCCCTCCAACCAGCAGTGTCCACCATCGACCAACTGCCCTAGAACTACACCGTGCTGGGCATTTGGGACACTCTTATGAGCAAGAGTTTCCATTTTTCTTCTAATGGGACCTTCATACTAGTGGCAAGAGACTTTTTTTTTTTTTTTTTTTTTGAGACAGAGTTTTGTTCTTGTCACTCAGGCTGGAGTGCAATGGTGTCATCATGGCTCACTGAAACCTCTGCCTCCTGGATTCAAGCAATTCTCCTGCCTCAGCCTTCGGAGTAGCTGGGATTAC